TTTTTTTTTTTTTTTTTTTTGTTAATGTTTTACTTCAATAATTTAAATTTTATCAATATATAATCTCACTTTTTTAGTCGCTTTTGTCGTCTACGACTTTTTTCCATCTTACTTCTTTTTGTCTTTTTCTTTTTTGGGATTTTTTTTTTCTATTCCTCATCTCTCCTATTCCTACTTATTTGTGTGTTCTCTCTCTCTCTCTCTCTCTCTCTCTCTCTTTTTTTCTTTTTCTCTTCCTTTTTTATTTCCCCCATTCTTTATTTACTTTATTTTTTTTATTCCTCTACGTGTGTGTGTTTTAATATTTTGTTCGCACATTTTTTTTTTATTTTTTTTTTTTATTTTTTTTTAATTACGATTTACATTTGAAAGTGGAATTGACACTTATAAGGTTATTGAAATAGCCTCTCAATATAATAATTGCACCAACGTGACAAAATCTTGTTTAGCATATATACGCACGCACACACACACACACACACACACACATACATACGCGCATACATTCTCTCTCTCTCTCTCTCTCTCTCTTTTTTTCACGCACAAATTTAATGCAACATTTTCTTTCAATCTCTCGTTTTCACTATTACACTAACACCATACATTTAATTCATTCGCCATACGTACGCGATTTTCACGATCATTCGTTAACAGGCATTGAACTCCTTTTCACTAAGCCTCTATCATCTTTCCATTTAATTTATTTTATTTTATTTTATTTCTTTCTCTCTATCTCTCTCTCTCTCTTTCCCTCACTATTCGCTTAATTATTTACCTATTTACTCCTTTTTTATTTTTTTTATTTTTAATTCATTCCGTTTATTTTATTTATACATACATCGGAAAATGGCCCTGATGTAAATACGTAAAGATCTAATTAAATCCTTGCGGTATCATTAATTTAATCTCGCGCGTAACTTTTTTTTTATTTTCCTTTTTATTATTATTATTATTATTATTGAAATTTTCTATCGTTTTCTACGTGTGACACGAGAACTATTATAACAGAGACGAATTTGACGTTTACATTACGGATAATTAGAAATGAAATTATTAAGAAAATTCTCGTCGCGAAAAGTAATATATATATATATATTTAAATATTATTAAATATATATATATATATATTTAAAAATATATATAAATTTATTAAATATATATTTATTTAAATATATTATTTATATTTTCGACAGAGAAACACACACGCACAAAAAATAAAATAAAACGTTCGAAAGTACGCACGAATGTGTTTTCTTATTATTAAAATTGAAACCAACATCGTGAACATTATTACAAATTTGTATTTCTCGTTACAAACGACAAACGATGAGAGAAAGATTCGATATTTTACCGAAATAAAAACGAAATATTATATTATATATTTGACAACGATTCCAAAATGATTTACCGTCGTCATTGTCGTCGTCGTCGTTTAACATCTTCCAATCTTCCGTTTCATTTTTTTTTAAATCTTCGTTGCACAAATTTATTCCCGAAACAATTAAAACTCGTTCTCCTATTTCTTTTTTTTTTTAAATTTTTTTCTCCCCTCCCCTTTATTTCTTCTCGCTGCTGCTGTTATTTTTTTCTTTTCTTTTCTTTTGTAAATATAATTTTTCTGTTTTCTTTTCGAAATTTTCAATTTTTTGATTTTCAAAGGTGTTATTAAAAACGCGCCCGCGTATGTATGTTGAACCGAATGACAAATAAAAAAAAAACAAAAACGCGTTAATTAAAAACACCTCTTTCGAATTTTAAAATACAATTGAAATTATATTTTTTATGAACGACATTTACGCGAGAGTTTTCGGAATTTTGAATATCGATCTACCCTCTCTCTCTTCTTAGCTTCTCAACTTCCTCCTCCTCCTCCTCCTCCACCATCTTTTTCACCACCTTTTCTTTACCCCCTCCTGTTTCTTCTTCTTCTTATGGGTTATATCAGAAATCGATTCGCGAGGACGAGCTCCCGTTTTTCTCTTATTGTGGTTTTTTCCTTCTTTTTCTATTTTTTTTTTAGGCCGAACCCGTGCATTGCGCCATCGTCGTCAGCGTATCGTATATAATTATAATAATTATAATAATAATAATAATGACCGATGATGCTCTACTTTTAATTGTAAGTCGTAAAACTTATATGATACATATATGTATATATATATAATGTAACGATAAGAAACAAATTTTTTTTTTAACACATATATATATATACATATACTTATGCATATATACATACATTTAGTGTATCATTTCAATTCCTATTATACGAAAGATCACCGCTAACACACGCCCTATAATATAATCTTCAAATTGATTTCTCTTTCCTTATCTTTTCGTATTTTTTCTTGTTTATCTTCTTTTTTTATTTTTCTTTCTTTCTCTTTCCATATATTTCATTCCTTTATTTTAAAAGATTTACAAAGATGTTCTTCTAGAATTTAGCCAAACTCATTTGTCCTAAATTTATTCGCAACGCGTAATAGGTCTCTTTGAATTTCTATTTTTTTTATCGATTAATTTGTTTCCTTCTAAAACCTCAGCCCCTTCCTCCCTTCCTCCACCCCTCAAACGACCCCGTTCCTCTTTTTGTCTATCTATCTATTTATCTATCATCTATCTATCTATCTATCTACCTATCTCTTTCTCTCTTTCGTTCTTCCTCTTTCTTTCTTTCTATCATGCATTCATTGTATCATTCATAAAACACGGGATTCATTCATTTGTTTACTCGTTCGAGCAGCGATGACGAGTTAGCTTGGCATAATTATTATTTAATTAACGATGATTATTATTTAAAACAGGACGATCGGATGTAAGTGACGCCCTTGGCAATATACATGTACATATATATATATATATATATATATATCACCAACGAGAAAAAGTATGTTTTTATTTGCTCAAATTGTAAAAGCGCATTTGTCCGAAAAATTAGACCATTGCCAATGGAAACAAAAAAGCTAGGAAAGAGGCTTACTATTATTTCAAAAATTGACCATTTTCTCTTCTTTATTAATTCCCGTTTGTGAGTATTTCCAAAAAGAAAAAGAAAAAAGAAGAAGAAAAGAATTTGAA